GCAGGGGAAGACTGACTATTCCCATAACCGACCAAAGCCCTCAGACAAGTGACTGGAACTTTCTCAACTTAAATTTGTCCAAGTGACAGGCAGAGAGGCAGAGAATGACAACCTCTCCTCACAGTACAGAATGTGGTTTTCGAGGGTTAGTGTCAACCCTTGTGCTAGAATTCTCTTGTGACGAAGGACCTGATAGGGTGGCTTCAGGGACAGGGGCTTATTTGGGCTCTGGGTTTCAGACAACCCCGTTCATCATGGTGGGGAGGGCTGGTGGGGCTGAATGGCTCACATCAAGATGTCCAGGAAGAGGGAGGGGTGAGATATAGAGGGAGAGAGAGAGAGAGGTAGAGGAGGGGTGAGGAACAGGGACGGGGGGGGGGAGGAAGGATGGGGAGAGGGAGGGAGAGGTAGGAGAGCATTCATGAACTGAATCTCAAAGGCTGGAGAAAGCATCCTGTCTGCTGCCTGTGTTTGGTGGGAGCTCCAGGGATGTAGTTTTCAGGAGGCATGGCCCAGGCTGAGTGAACTTTCTCATGATGAAACTGCCTTGCGGTCTTCCGTGCTCCTCTAGGTAGCTCCTCATCCATACATACGGACCCCGATAAGCTCATTAGCCCCCAGCAAGTCCCTGCAGTTTTCCCAAGTACGCACAGATAATAAATAATAGAACTTGAACTCAGGGCACCATAACTTCTAAAGTTGAAGTTTCTTGAAGTTGACAGTATTTTATCCCAGCAACTGGGCAAAAAAGCTAAGCCACATCTCAAAGGATGCTGCAGAGAAGGGAGAGGTCTCCAGACAACACTAACAGCTAGGGTGGGCATCCTATATGCTAATGAGCGCTGTGGTGGTTGATGTGCACAGGTCCATGAAGATGTTTTCAGAAAGGATTACCTAAGATAGACGACTCTGCCTCAGAACGCATGGCTCCTTCCAGACACACTGAGGTGTGTGTGTTGGGGGGTGGAAAGCAGGGGGTTTTGCCTGTCTGTTTTTATTACTGTTGATGAGTGCATCCACTCAGTTTCTTCTGCTACAGCCATCCTTTACTAACATCACAACCTAGCTTCTTTTGACTTCTGATTGTGAACTGAAGGTTAACTACTCTCCAGGGATCTTCTGGACCTTCAACACCAGATGGGAGCTGATGAGTCCTCTGGCTTCATGCATAGAGAAGCCACTGCATTCTCAGCTTCTCCAGCGCCCCAACAACCATTTTTAGACTCCTCAACCTGTATGCTGTAAGCTAATCTTGTGAATCTCTTTTCTGGTGTATATGTACTCCGTCTACTGTGTTTCCCCCAGAGAATCCCATCTAGCACCGTCTCTCAGGGCAGTGGCTTCATGAGGGGGAAGTCCCTGGAACACTTGGCAGGGTGGCAGTGGCGAGGCCCCTCCTTTCAGAATATGGATTGGAACCAATGGATACAGCCTGAACTTTGGCCCCTGTCTGAGTTCCCCAGGAAGGGTTGGCAGCCCTTGCATTAGGGGGCTGTGTTTAGACAAGTAAGAGTCCTAGTATAAAGTGGGGTGCCCTGTGGGTAAGAGTTCAACTGCATACACTGTTGTTTTCATGCATACAAGCCCCCTTCCTTCCCACTCACCCTTTATTTGACTTAAACCTTACAATATTTGGACCAATATGCAATGCCAGAGATTCAGAGACATTGAGAATTATGGCTCCAAGATGTACAGTTGGCTGGCACCCAGGGTTGATCCCAATCCAATGTCTGTGCCCAAGCCTAGACATGCATTGTCCTCAGTGAGAAGTGGGCACTGATGCCCACTGAGGCTGTTCTGGGCAGTTGTGGTGATGCACACCTGTGATGCCAGCATGTGGGAGGCTGAGGCAGAAAGATCACAATTTTAAGACCAGCCTGGATTGCATAGTGAGACCCTATTTCAAAAGACTGAGGGCTATGTTTTGGGAGGTCCTGCTGTCTATGTGTTGCTTTTATTGGTTAATGAATAAAGGAACTGCTTTCAGCCTATAGCAGAGCTATAGGGGAACAGAGCTAGGTGGGGAAAACTAAGCTGAATGCTGGGAGAAAAGAGGTGGAGTCACATAGCCTTGCTGGAGACAGACAGAATTTTAGCCAATAAGCCACAGCCATGTGGTGATACACGGATTAATAGAAATGGGTTAAATTAATTTGTAAGAGTTAGCCAATAAAAAGCTAGAGCTAATGGGCCAAGCACCGATTTAGTTAATATAGTTTCTGTGTGTGATTATTTCAGTTCTGAGCGGCGGGACGAACAAGCAGCTCCCTACAACAAGACTAGAAATGTTGCTTGTTGGTAGAGCATTTACATAGTCTTGCGTTCAACTTCCAGCCCTCCTTACAACCCAGTGGCTCTGCCTACATCTAATATATATAAGTATATAGTATATGAATATATTAAATATATGATATACACGTGTACATTTCTTTTCTCCTGGGACACTTGCCAAGCACAGCAATACTTTGTTCAAGAGATACAGGGCGGCTTAAGGGAGGCTGAAGGAAGCCAGGGGCCCAGGAGGAACTTCCCGGGTGATAATGGATGCCACATGAGGCAGTCCCACCCCCACCCCTAGTCAAGAGTGGTATTTTATAATCTTCATCTCTTACAGCAGAAAATTTATGACCGCTTCCAGCTCTGAGACTTCAAAGCCAGAATAGCACTGCCCTCCCCCCCCCCCCCCCAGTCCTCACCCGCTCCCCGCTCCACCTACCCGATTCCTTCTCTTCTCTTGCATTCCTGCAAGTCCCTTCTTTGGCATGGCGACTCCACGGCTGGGAGAGAAGGCCCCCTCAGCCTGGGGGAGACTTACCTGGGAGGTGGAGGATGATAATGCCCCCCCATAAATAACTGCTCTCCCTCCCCAGACCACAAGTCACTGCGGATTTAGGGAGGAGGGAATAATGGCTGTGCTTCCCCCATAGGCAGAGCTGGGGGCGTGGGGATGTGCGTGCGCGTGTTTAATTTAATTTCTCCTTTCTTCTTACCCATGTCAAAAGCACCTTGGGCTCCTCCTTCTGCTCCTAAGAGCTTCTTTGAAGGGATTACAGCTTGACTATGGGCGTCAGCTGGGAAAGATGGTGTGGGCTGGACATTTGCTGATCCTGCTCACCAACCCCATCCTTCAGATGAACGAGAGAAATGTGGGCTCCCAGGGCTTTCTGGAACAACACATTACTGACCCCCAGCTATCTTCATCCACTACGAGGCTGTGCCCCACACCACCTTCTCCAGGCTCTCCCTGGAGATCATTCCTTGTTCACCATGTCTCAGTTCCTTCCCGGAGCCTCTCTGGGTCTTTTGATCTTGGTTTGGGATCCTCCACCATGCAGATATGGAGGTCCACAGTGGTTTTGCACAGCTTGTGGGAGGTTTGTTAAAGGACTCTAAAGGGAAGATGAGGGAGGGAGAAGAGATGGGACTCAGCTAGCATGGAGTAGAGAGAAGCACAGAGCTGTGGACACAGCACTTGAGGGACATAGTACTGCAGCATAATCCCTCTCAGAACTGCCTCATGGGTTGCTCAACAAGAATACGCTGTCCCTTGAGTTATTCTGCCAAAGACTCAAGACTTCAGGATTCAGTATCTATTGTATTTTCGTTTGGTATGTATATATACATGTATGTGTATGCATATACATACATATATATAATTTCTGTGTATGCCAGACTGACCTCAGACCTACTATGAGAATGACCTTGAACTTCTGAACCTCCTGCCCCCACCTCCTGTGTGCTGGGATTGCAGGTGTACGCCACCACAACTGGTGTATGCCATGTGGGAATCGAACCCACGGCTTTGTGCGCAGGAGACAAGCACTTCCCTGACTGAGCCACAGTTCCAGTCCTTGGAGCCACGGTCTGATTTACTCAGTTTGGATCACGCAAGGCCTCTTAGCTTTAGGCAGGTAGGGACCAGGAGCCTGTCCCTTGAAGTGTGTGTCATAGCAGGAGATGAGGAGCGGACACCACAGTGCAGAGGCCAGGGAAGGACAGTTTCTAGTTGGCCATGCCCACTGCAGCGCTGGGCTTGGCTGGTTCACAATGGGTCTCACACACTGGGACTTGGACGCATCAGGCAGAGCTGTACAGGTTGCATCCTGCCCAAGACCACTTCTCTTAGGAGGAAGAGAGCCGCTAAATCCCAGCACAGCCTTTCCTTGCCAAAGAGCTGCACCCACGCAGGGGAAGGGATGGCTCCCCTAATGTGCAAAACTGCGCCAGGCACTTGGTGTGAATTATCATTTTTAATCCTCTCAACAACCTTGAAAGGTAGGTGTGGTCCATTAAAGGTGCTCACAGAGACTCCTGTGTCTTCTCCCTGGAGGAGTCATGTCCCTGGGGAAGGAAGGGTATTGCTCTGGGTGCAGGATTGAGGGGCAGAAGGTAAGTCCCTCCCCTCCCCCTCCCCAATTCCTAATCTGAATTCCCTTGGCCAATTAAACATAATGTATTTGCGTCCTACAACTTCTAGAGACAGGACTTGAGAAAACTTTCGACTTTCTTTCTCTTGGCTTCCTGGAGCTATGAACCCCTCAGATGAAGCTCCCCTACTGTGATCTCGGGGCTGTCCCTACAGCTGAGACAGGACAGTGGTGTCCCTCCCTTCTAACCATCTTTGAACCACAAGGTTTCAGGTAGCTTCCTCCACGACCATGTGTTCTTACTTGTTGAACACTTGCTCCATGCCCCACAATAGCCTTGGCCCATTGTGACGGACACAGTCTGAGAGCATACTGACATCATGGAGCCCAACTTTTCCAGAGAGGCAGTCATCTGGCTAATGCATAAGGCGCTGGAGGGACCAGTTGATAATGACTTGTTTCTAATGTCCCGTTTAATGTGTAAGTCTGGGGATGGCATCTCACTTGGGCACCCAGCTGGGTGGACCTTCCCTGGCTCCCTCCCCATTCCCTTAACACCCAATCTGCGTCCAGGATGACAGCTGAGGAGTTTTGGAACAGCAAGCATAGGGAGTCTCTTCTTTCCTTCCTCAGGATGGCCGAGTCAGGATCTCCGTGGACTTTGGGCTCTGAGACTTAGTTGAAAAGGGCAAAAGAAGAACAACAGTTGCTTTGTCGGGACCCACGGCCTGTGTATGTATCTCCACTGGTGTTGCATTTGTGGCTGGCCTTGGATGGTGACGCTGCTCGGACCCCCTGACAAGCAGGGGACTGAGTCTGGGTGGCAGGGAAGAATTTCACACAGAGCCAGCCAACCTGAGCTTCACGCTGGAACAAAACACGCTACTTGCAGCAGGGAACCATGACTCACTGTCTAATCTGGGTGCTCTGAGGCTTCTGCCGGGAGATCAACAGACCGGCCTCGGCCGGGCGGAGAGTGGAGATGGCAGAGCAGACAGTTTCCACTGGGGCCAAGCCTGAATCCCCCGAGGCCTTCCTTGGCCTCATCAGAAGGATTAAGGATGCTATTTTAAGGATCTCCTGAGTGCTCCTTAGGAAAACTTCCAGCAGGGTTGAGACGGGTCCCACCAGCTCCCACACCTTTCTGCCTAGCACGCTCTTCCTCAATCAATAGTGGCTGCCCATGAGCGTCAAGCCCCAGCCCCTGCCTGTCACCAAGAGTGTGTCCCGCAGAATCTGTGTTTTCTAGCATGTTTGGTGCCCAGTAGGGCTGGGAGGAGTGGTGCAGAGAAATGAATTTCCCACCACACATGAATTACACTTGGGAAATAGTTGGTGGCATTTTTTTCTGGGGGCAGCATTTGCCTGTGTTCCCCAAGCCTGAGTGATACAGGCAAAAGGGTTGGGAAGATCTCAAGGCCAGCCTGGGCTCGAGAAGACCCTCTATCAATGAATGCCGTTGAATGTTAGGCTATTAATCTTTCTCAACACATTTTGGCCTTGGACCTGCCGTTGGTAAAGAAAAGAAGTGTGTGTGTGTGTGTGTGTGTGTGTGTGTGTGTGTGTGTGTATCCCTCTGTATGTGTGTGTTTATGTATGTGTGTCTGTGTGTTTCTGTCTCTCTGTGTGTGTGTCTGTATGTTCCTCTGTGTGCGTGTCTCTATGTGTGTCTGTGTGTCCCTCTGTGTGTGTCTGTATTTCCTCTGTGTGTGTGTCTATATGTCCCTCTGTGTGTATGTGTGTCTGTGTGTGTGTCCCTCACTCTGTGCGTGTCTGTGTGTGTCTGTATGTCCCTCTATGTGTGTATATGTGTCTATGTGTGTGTGTCAGTGTGTCCCTCCATGTGTGCAGTATTTGTGTCTGGTGTGTTTGTGTATATAGTGAGCACCTTGGATGGATTTTGATGTCATTTGATCCATGGCCGTCATTTTGAGAAAGCCCTGCTTCAGAGCTAGCTATCGGGGAAAGACACACATTTTGCTCTGGGTTTTACAGAGAGGGAAACTGAGGTACCAGAAAGTGATTGCCACACAGAATGTGTGCCCCAAGGTAAGTTCACACAGCTTGTTGATATGAAGATACACTATATTTAGAACTGTAGCCATCACCGTTGCAAATCAGATTTTAAAAAATTCAGATTCTGACCCCGATTCTGGATTGCCAGTCTAGGGACAATCTTCAGCTCAAGAATGGGGACCGGATCTGTTCCTTGGCTCTGATTCTCACTCTGTGGAGTTGATCTAGTCACATCATCTCTGAATCTCATTGGATAGATGAAGATAACAACCTGCCTGAGGCTTTGGGGAAAGAAGTAGATGAGATTATTATGTATGTGTAGTCAAGAAAGTATCCCACCCACGGCAGAAACTAACACCTCTAACAAGCACAATGACCAGGCGTCGGATGGAAAAGGGAAGATGGTCTCCTCCTGTGGAAGGTAACTGTTCCCAGCATCTAAGGACTGTCTCTACTCGTGTGTCATGTTGAATCTGTGTTGAATAGAACCCTGGAGTGGCACAGACTCTGGACCTCTCTATCCACTGCCCAGACCACAGGCATGCCCCATTCATTCCCAAAGCACACCTCTCTAGACAGCTCCTCAGTGTGGCCCCAGTGCCACCACCCTAGAAGATATTCTTCAAGAGAAGAATTTAGAGTTCAAATATTCGCCAACGATGTCTCCTGTTCTAGAGCTGCCCCCTCCCACAGAGATGTTCTAAGTGTCTACTGCCATAAAGACCCTGGGAAGTCTGATAGCAAAACAACAAACAAAATGTGATAGTTCCTGTTACCTGGACTCGAAGCTCTGCAGACTCATTTGACAAAAACACCCGAGCGGCAAGTCTGTCGTTGTATCACTTTGGTGACTTTTGCATTAAAGGATTTTGTGCAATAAGTTACTTAGTTCCTAAGTGAATTCTCTTTACAACTATGATGATAAGACATTATTATTATTATCCTGCACTTATGCTGTTCCTTGTGAGTGCTGGTTTGTATAAGAACAGTCTCCATATGTTCATAGATTTGAATGCTTAGTGATCAGGGAGTGGCGCTAGTTAAGAGGATCAGGAGGTGAGGCCTTGTTGGAGGAAGTGTGCCACTGAAGGTGGGCTTTGGGGTTTCAGAAACCGTAGCCAAGCCCAGTGGCTCTCTCTCTCTCTCTCTCTCTCTCTCTCTCTCTCTCTCTCTCTCTCTTCCTGCTGCCTGAATGTAGATGTGGAACTCTCGGTTTCCTCCCCAATGACTTTTGTGCTTCCCCGCTCTCTGCTATGACAATCATGGTCAACCTCTGAAGCTGCAAGCCAGCCCCATTTAACTGCTTTCTTTTGTGAGTTGTCGTGGTCATGATGTCTCTTCACAGCAATGGAACAGTGAGTAAACCACCATGCTTCTCTTTCCCTTTGGGAAATGCTGGTCCCTGACGCTCAGTGATGTCCTGATCCGGTACTCACTGATTTGGTCATAAAGATTGCTGACCGTTGACACCTGCTCCTTGGCTTGTATCTGTCCTAAGCCGAGCCACTAAATCCCAACTCTTGTCAATGACTCCATCTTCCATCATACTGTCCTGCCAGAAACCCAGCCCCACCTCTCTCTATAACTTGTTCCCTACACCCAGAGCATCATGATAGTATGCTCAGCCCCACCCCCATGCAGACCAGCCTCATCCTCCGTCCTCTCTGAGAATGACTGTCTATTCCCAGCCCTCCAGAAAACCACAGGATACTAGCAGATAAGCAAAACCAGGACTCCATAGAGCCAGACTCAGAGACGCTCCAGGCTTTCCCCTGCCTTCCACGTGAGCAAGCCAGCAGCTTCCTCTGCTGACGCCCATCACCTCCACCCAACTCTTGTCAATGAGAAAGAAGGCCGGCGCAGTGCCCACCAGGCTCGGCCTGGCTGAAAGACAGCTTCTCTTTAGAGCTGAGTTTATAGGCTGAGAATAATCAATAGGATACATTCTCAGTTTCTCTTTTCTTACCAGCGTGTGGTTCTGTGGCTCAGACATGAGGAGAAAGCGCCGTGGTCCTGACAAGTTTTCAGCCGCAATTCTATGTGTGTCCCAGAGACCACGGAAATGCATCCATGGTTGTCTCTAGTGCAGAACATTCTATGGCCTCTTGCTTCCAGGGGTAAAACCTTCCATAGCTCCCTACGCCCAGGGGTAGTTTATGGTCTCTGCTGTGGGGACGGGACTCCAGTCCAATTACTTCTCCTTCATCCACAGCTTTGATCTCACCCTTCCTTTTATTTTCACCCCAAGGCCAGGTCCACCAAGCCTTGCTTTTGTATTCGTGTATTTTTAAAATGTATTTTTTAATTTTTTTCCTCGTCTAAGACGTATTGCTCCATAGGCTACATATTGACTTGATGTTTCCAGCATCTTCTAGGAGTCTCCAGCTGACGGTTTGTTGTCAGTTTGGGATATTCCAACAGCGAAGAGTAGAAAAGGAGACTGGAGAGATGCTTCATCAGCAAAGTGCTTAAAGTTCTGTTCCCAAGATTCACCTTTTAAAAAGCTGGGTGTGGTCTTGTGTGCTTGTATCTTATAATCTCAGTAGTGGGAGGTGGAGACAGGCTGGTACCTGAAGTACTTTGGACAGGCAGCCTAGCCTACTAAGCAAGTGCAGGGAGAGAGAGGGGGGAGGGAGGGGGGAGGGATGGAGGGACAGAGGGACGAAGGGAGAGAGAGAGAGAGAGAGAAAGTCCCTGCTCTAGTGTGGTTTGATTACTGTGATAAGACATTGACCAAAACATCTCCTGGAGAAAAAGAATTATTTGGCTTGCAGCTCACAATCCATCACTGAGGGAGGCCAAGATAAGAACTCCAGAAGCTGAAGCAGAGATCATGGAACAAATGCTATTTCCTTTTCCCAGCCTCATGCCCAGCTAGATTTCTTATACAACCCGGGCCTGCCTGCCAAGGGAATGGTGCTACCCACAGTGGGCTTGGCTCTCTTACACCAATCAGTAATTAGGAAAATGCCTCCTGCCCCAGTCATGACCTCAGGCCAATCTGATGGAAGCAATTCCTCAAGTGAGGTTTCCTCTTCCCGAATCTCAACTGGGCAAGCAAAATTAGCCACCACGGTTTCCAAACTCACACCCCCAAGAACATCATCACAGAAGATCATCGCATCTTTGTTTAAAATCCCACGGTATCTATACAGAGCCATGGATGTGCTCTGTGCACAGGGCTGAGTTTAGGGGTGGTCGGGGAATCACATGGAGACAGACAAGAGGCATGAGCAGATCGTTCAGGTGCTTGGGTAGATGGAGGCCTCAGAGGAGTGTACCAACTTCTGGGCGTGTTGGCATGATAACAGGTTTTCTGAATGATGACTTTGAAGTGCCAGGGATCGTTGAAGGGTTTTTCAGATGGATTTTGTGTGTCATAGTTATCTTTCTCTGTCACTGTGACACCTGAGAGAAACAACTCACGGGGGAAGAATCTACTCCTGTGATGTTAGTCCTGACACCGAGGAAGGCGTGACGGCTGCAGCAGTGCCCTCTCTGCTGTGACAGTGGGAGCTACAGCAGAGCAGCAGACAGGAAGTGGAGCTGGCCTGTGACCTCCGAGGCCTGCTCCCATGGCTGGGTGTCTTCCGCCCAAGGCCCATGTCACAAAGCTTCCCACCATGTCCTCAGAGAATAGCACAAGATGAGGAATGTCTAAACACAGGAGTCTACTCGGGATTCAAGCCCTCAGAATGTTTCTTCTGGGACCTGGGTCCCCGACTCAGCCAAAGGGCCTTGCTTCTGGGTAAAGCTGAGTCATAAGTTAGCAGCAAAGCACACACTTCCTGAACTCACTGAAGAGAGTTGAACTCTGAAGGCGGCCATTCAGAAGCCCCAGTTGGGGCGGGGGTAATTTGTCCACACTTGGGACAGGAACTCGGATGCATAAGTGTTTGGCCGTGTAAACCAAGCTGACCGGAGATCTCCATTTGCCTCTTTTGTACATAATTGGAAAACCCAAGATACATGTTTCCTTTTACGTTGTGGGTGGTTACTCAAGACTCGCGGGGCTTTCTTTGGAAGTGTTGGGAGTGTATTTGGCATTCCCATCCAAGTTCTGTCAGCCGCGAAGCTGGCCAGTTAGAGGATCAGCTCCCATCAATACATGATTAAGTGCAGACTTGCCAGAATTCCGGTCGATGAATTAAGATCTGCTAATTGGAAAACAGAAGCAATTGGTTAATACTTCAATTAGGGCCCAGTCAACTAATGACTTTCGTTGCGTGTATAGCGGGGTACATTTTCAGACCTGAGCTGGAGTTTTCTTGTTAAACGTTAAATAAAGCCACAGTTGGATCCCCACAATATTTCAGGGCTTGTGGGTACATAACTAGACACAGACTCAGGTGAACGTTAATAAGCCACAAGCCTTTAGAGTGGACCCGTGAATTGTCACGTAAACACGAGCGATCAGAGAGAGGGATGTCAAGGCAAACCGTCATTAGTGTCTTCCCGAGCTGGCCTTAACAGCCTGGTGTAATTTGGCTAATGGAGTCTGTGCTGCTCATTAAATTATAAGGGCATTAAAAAGATCTCTAAAACAATGCTAATATTCTAGAGGGTTAATTAGTCCTGGAATTAAAAAGCAAAACCCACAGATTTCATCTGACTTGATGAGCCAGGGAAGAGAGACGGTCTTCAAAGCAGTAGCTTCGCAGTCCGTGCTTTGGGACACTCCCTGGTCTTCAGGAATGGAAGGTTCCTAGGGAAACCTCTTGACTTCTGTTTGAAGCTGGTTCTGAACCCGGTCCAGTTGATTTTATTTTCATCTAGAAGGAGGTAGAAAACCCAGGAATAGGTCTGTGCCCAAGGCCTGATAGCACTGACATCTCTGTTTTATAGTTGAATGGTGTTGAGCTTAAGAGAACTGTGGCCCCTTCTAGAGACCTGTCGTCCCTTGTCCCTAAAGTCACAAGGTCATTGAGTGGAGCACCTGGGTCTCCAGCATCAAATGCCGGGAGTCCACATTCTCAATTAAACTTTGCAAGTCAAGCCGAATGGTAGGTAGTGCACACAGGTAGAACCAGAGGCATTATAAAGGTCTTTTCAATAGTATAAGTCCTTCCACAATGGAATATGCCAAAGGGGAGAGTCGCCCTGGTTTAGTGGTGTTCTAGTGTTGGGGGCATAAGGCAGGGATACCCCTGTCCCAGAAGAAAGGATCCTCCTTCGCATTTGTTCTAAGATCCTACAATGATCTTAGGCCATGGGTCCATGAGGTGGTTTGCCACTAAGGGTTAACACAATGGGGTTCACGGACAATCTTTGGAGATCACAAACCATCTTTGTTTACTGATGCTTTCTGCACATTACGCACGTGGCTGACTTCATGGGGGACACCGCTCATTGTCCCATGGAATTCCCAAACCGGTAATGGGGTCATATTGTTTTTGACAGCTGAGCAAGTAAACCAATAGATAAGGCATTGAGAAATGATAAAAAAAAAAAAAGCTTGCAGAGCCCAGTGACACAGAACAACAGGACACATGGGTCAGTCTACTTGGGACCCTTGCCTAAGAGCCCTGCTTTGCAAGTGGGCTGAGCAGGACTGTAAGGCAGCGCTGAGGGACTTCCTGGCCAGCCAGGGAGCAGGGTCCCAGGGAACAGACACACAATGTAGGGGACTAACCAGCCAGGAGGGGCTTTCCCCAAGAAGAGCTGGGGTGGAGGCTTCCTGAGGGGTAAGGATTCTGATGCCAGAGAATTTGTTGAAGCCACTGACTCAAAGGTGAGAGAGACTGATGCAAAGAGAAGAGCAATGAGGGGAGATGGAGGGGAGACCCAAACCCAGACAGAGTGATGGA